CAAGCATTGCAACGACATTTAGAGAGAATTAAGGTTCTGGATTTAGAACACCATACCGGAATGAATAATAAGAATAGTATTTTCAAAGAAATGAATGAAATGTGTGATCATTTAAAGGTGACCATTTCATGGCTCAAAGAAATTAAGTGTTTCATTCCAGATAACGTCTTTCATCAATTACGAATAAGAGCACACGATCGTTCATCAGCTTCATTAACTCTCGAACCAAATATGAGATCCAGTGCACAAATGAAACCTCAACTACGGGCATCACATGAACGAAAACATCAACACAAACAATCACTGGAGAATCATCAAGAACCAAATATGAATGACCAAAACATGAAACTACATCCAATTCCAGCTTAACTTCAAGCACATTAGTCGAGGCATCTTCACTGTTCAAAATGGGGCTTTTAAGAAGACATGTACGGTTATTTGCATTTGCTTGAACTGGGAAACATCCTGCCATTCAGACATTGAGTGTGAATTACCAAAAATAGTGAATACCATTCGATCCTTGTGTAAAGTTTTTCAAGCCGTTGTTCAAATATCTTCTGTGGAGGAAATTGTCATCATATTCGAGACAGATAAACAATCCAAAAGGAAAAAGAGTGCTTTAGCGGCTGTTGAATGTGCTTTAAAGATTATACGGACATGTTCTCGCAATCATCCCAAGCAACATGGCCACACTACTACATCTCATGAACAAATTACACTAGAAAGACCTTTTTCAATGGGAATTTCCACGAGTGATGAGTCCTATGTTGGAAATTTGGGATCTCACTCTTTTCGATTCTATTCCATTATTTCGCATGCCACTCTTATTGCAAAAGACTTAGCTTTTTATTGCTCGCTCGATCAATGCAACTGCAATCATGGATGAGAAAACTTATTTGGAAACTAATAAGCAATTTGTATCAATACCAGTCGATAGGATGTGGATACCAAGTGGCGAAGACGCGACTACTTTTAACGTTTGTTCTGTTTATGAATTGTTAAGAGAAATGGAAGTCAAAGATGACGAGTGGTTATACGAATTGGAGCAAAAGGATGATATTTCTAAATTTCAACAATTGCACTCATTGTTTGACATTTTCCAAGAACAACAAGACAACAATCTTGAAGCCATGTTAATGAAAAATGTGTTATTCTTAAGAGATCACATCATGGCCTATCCATCCGATAGATCCTATGTTCGTCTGTTAAAGTTATTTGAATTTATTTTGAATTCCTCAGGAGTGGGAGAACAATCCACCGATACCAATAACATGGTGAAGAGTCTTGTTGACAAATATTACATTAGAATTCAAAGATCCATTCTTTGCTCTATTGAAAACTCGATCGTTTTTTCCAAGTAATCATTGTAAAGTAATATAATTCCAAAACGAGTGGATCAAACCGAGATAGACAACCTCATAGTTTCAAGATTATCTGACAACAACACCAAATGGAAAAGGGTTTAAGGGAATATCCCGCAGTGGAGCGAAAGAGCATCACAACCTTTGTTGAGCGGTTGCGGCTTATTGAGTTGTGTGCTTCCTTTTTGATGGTTCCTAGAACATCTCAATTTAGAGTTTTTTTAAGGTTGAACGCATGAACGAGACACACAGTTCTATACGTGGAGCTCGAGCGCGAGTTAGTTGATCACTTTTCACCAAAAATAAACCGTAAACCCTCGCACCTCCTAAAAACAAAATTCCAAAGCCTCTTCTCTATTGTATATGATAACGCATTCCTATCAAGCCTTCCTCACACCGTACCGCGCATCTATCAAGCCTATTCATTCAAACAGAACGATTGAGAGAGAGAACCATGGTCAAAGTTCAACCTGTTCAGTCAGGTCATTTTGACAATGAAAATTCAACCTTGGAGTCCAACAAACAACTCAGCGAGTTCTTTTCCTTTCAATCCGAACGAGATTTGGACGATGATATCCTTATTGAGGGAAACAAAAGAGTGGAAGGCCCTTCTTGCTGAGAGTGCTCCTTAGTGTCCGTCTCTTCCTCATTGTAGTCATTACGATTGTTGTCATATTGACAGCTCTCTCCATTTGGGTAACTGCCTTCACCGTGAATGAACAAACAGCATTGGAGCAAGTCAATGTTATCATTTCGAATATGAATGAAAAGATGTCAGGTTTTCTTCAAAGTCAATTGTTACCAGCAAAACAGGTGGCACAACTCCTCGCTGACGATTATCATAACTTTAAGATTGACCATGATCCTTCCATTCAAAAGTATTTGTTTTCAAAGGTTAAGTTGTTTGGGGTCACGAACACCAATCTATGCTTTGGAGATGGATCTAACAACCAAATGTTTGCATACAGTGTCAATGCTGACAATTCGATCGTGTGGGGTGCCAAACTTCAACAAAGTACTCGTTTTATTATTTCGAAAGCAAACAATGAGACTGGTGAAGTGTACTATGATCAAGTACTGACAAATGTTTCTTATGTCATCAGTAATGCGGACTATTATAAGGAATCTATTCGTATCACACAGGAGTATCCACATGGAGCTTTTGGTGCCCCTTACAAAGTTCTTGGAGGACCACAATCCACTTTTTTCCGTTCCAGTTTTCAATCGAACAGATTTGTTGAATGGAATCAAGAATCGAGTGGGTTTTGCAAAGATTAACATTTCTCTTGCAAATATTGCTCAATTCTTGAAAAACGTCAAAGTCTTAACAAAAGGTTATGTCATTATCTCAGAATTTGCCAATAACTTTGTGATTGGAAGTAACCTTGAAATTGAAGGTATTGACGCCAAACGTGTGAAAGCCACAGACATTACCACCCGAAATGCTGGCACTGTCATGAACATGCTGTTACAACAAACTGGAGACTCTTTGGATCCGTTCATTCTCAACATTGAAAGTAATGGAATCAATTACTTGGTCTCATCTACACCTTTCGTTTACACCAATTTGAAATGGCGAATGACACTTGTTTTTGAAGAGAATGAAATCAAGAAGGGCATTATCATAAGTAGTTACGTCATTCTCGGAGTGACTTTAGGAGTGACCGGATTGGGCATCTTGATGAGCGTTGTGATAGGTTGGATGGTTACAAATCCATTCATCCATCTTCAGGAAGATTTTAAAAAGATTGAAGTGCTCGATTTGGCCAACATTAAAGAAAGAAGTGCGTTCTTTAGTGAAGAGAAAAGTATCTATTCAAGTTTGACCGAGACAGTGAGATGGTTGAGTGAATTTAGAGCCTTCTTGCCAGACTCTGTGTTAAATCAGCTTGAGAATAACAAGGAACAGAAAAATCAAGATTCTAGACCAGAATCAAGCAAGAAAGACGTCAAAGTTCAACTGACTCAAGAAATGTCATTTCAAAGTAAGGAGAATTCAAGCCAGGAATGGACCATTCAAACAGTGGATCTCATCACCAGACCTCTGCCCACATGAAAACAGATTCCAAATCCTTTTTCAAGATTGGACTTTCATCAAAAGATCTGGTCACACTTGTCCACATTTCCATTCCAAATTTATCAGAAAAGAATTATCCATTCGATGCCTTGAACAATGTCACATCCAAATGTTTGACATCTGTTTCGAATATTTGTAAAACATGTCGTGCAGATGTACAAATTAAGAGTTATGACGAATATGTGGTTATATTTAATGACAAGTTTCCCTGCATAACAGCACTTGAAACTTGTTTGAAGTTGAAGATGGCATTAGAATCATTGAACAATCATCTCACAAAGGAAGGATTGAATCCATTGCAAGTGTGTATGGGAGTTTCAAGTGGAGAGTGTCTCATCGGTAATATTGGAAATAAGCACGTAAGTAATGGTGCATGATCATCTTTTTCATTGATTGCCGTCATCTCTATATAGATGAGATTTTTGCACAAATTGGTGAAATTGTAAATACTGCGAAAAACTTGTGTGTTTTGGCCAACTTTGTAAATGTTCAAATCTTACTCGATACTCAAACATATCAGCTCACCAAGGATTCTTTTGTGTTTCGACCAGTTGAAAGAATTATGAGTTCATCCAAGAAAAGTATCGACACTGTATATCAACTCATTCAGAAAAACCATGTGGCAGAAGATGAATGGATGTATGAACTTGAAACCAAGCAACATCATGCTAAATTTGAACTATTTGGCACCCATTTCTTTAAATTATTTGATGACCCTCTTTTGGATAAAGAGGAGGCCAATCATGTGAAGAACTTCATGTCCAACATGTTTGAACTGTCTCCTGGAGATGTGGTGCTTCAAAGAATCAACAAATTGATTGAACTGAGCTCCACAAACAAAGGTGGTCAAATGAATCCCTTATCGAGTTATTATACAAATATTTCAACAAATGTCACAAGTTATGTCCAGGGAGAGGTCGCTCAGCTTGATTGTGGCTGTTGAATTAGATATTTTAAAGTTTTCATTGGCATTGTTGAAATAAAAACTTGTTCAGAAGCAACTTAATCTCTATTAAATTTCAGGTTAGCTTTTCAAGTAAAAACAATTTATAAAATATTTAGGAGCAGAGGGAATCGAACCCTCGTCTAAGGAACCACAATCCTTCATTCTACCATTGAACTATGCCCCTTACATCATATATGATTTTAATATTTAATCATCTATTTATTTTTGGAAATACAGAAGATTCACATCCTGTCGTCTAGCAATATGGTTAAGGAGGCACTCAACAAGAAAGCACTTCCAAGGACAACATTGGCATTCCTTGTTACATGGCCACTGGAGGAGGTGGCGTTCGCTGCGGCTTCAGTTTGATGGGGTTGCCCTACTCTTCCTCATCGGAATCATAGGTCGATCCGAATGCTAACTTTTTCGCTTGCTTGATTTGTGAAGGAGTTTCTGGAGCTCGACCTCTGGCAGGCTTTCCGCAAGAGTGAGCATGTGACACCCGTTCCAAAGCTTGTTGTGCATTCAATCGATACAAGTGACTCAGCAAGACACACGACACGGTGGATGTTCTGCCATGACCTCCCCAACAATGCAATAAGAGTTTCTTCTTTGGATTCAAGACCCGAGGAATCAATTCTTGTTGAACAAAGTACGGAAGTAATGAAACGATCGGGAAAGGGCAAATGAAGATATTCAATTTGTTCAAAAGGGGAATGGTTGATGTTGAGGAGAGAATTTCTCTCTTGTGCACGGTCATGAAGCTCTGGAAGACAATTCTCGCTTGTTGTTGAAGAAGACTTCAGTCTTTGGTCCTCGACCATTTCTAACGATGAACGCTTTTTTTAAATGAACTCGAGAACTTGTGAATATGTATTGATCAAAAAATCCATTTTATAACTTTTATCAAGGTTACTAACGTTTCTGATTCCTGACCATTTCAAAATTGACATGTTTAGGAGCATTAAGGTCATGATGGAATCCACAAATTCAGAGTTGTGAAATCGCTTGAGGAGCATTAAGGTTTTGGCTTGCTCACATTTGTTCCTGTAGAAGAGTTTTCAAAGTGCAACAGTGTTTCGTAAGGCATCAATTGAGCTTCTCTTCGAACTCTCTTTCTCACCTGATGTTTGACTTGAACGAATTGAATGTTCCTTTTGTTGATTCTGAAGAGATCTCTTCTTGATTCTTTTCATGAATGTTTTTCTTGTGATGTGCAGGAAGGTTCTTCTTTAGGGATGTTGGATTGAATGCAATTTCTTTGGAATCTCTCTAAGCGGAATTAGCTTTGAGGAATCCAAGGTTTTGAGATTATTGTTGGTTACTTGATCCTCTTTATGTTGATGATGTTCTGATGAATTGACGACCGAACTGCCCTCACCAAGATGTTGCGTTGTTGAATTCATTCTTCTCAAGAGAGATTCGCTGGCATGGCTTACATCTAAGGGAAACTTATTTTGGTATTCTTCCGTAATTGTGGTTGTTTTCCTTATTGAGAGAGGATGTTGTGTCAAAGAGCAATCAAGGAGAGAAGATTGATCGACGGGTGTAATTTCTTGTGAATCCAACGATGATTTATCGTTTGAATGATGAATGGGAAAGTGAGAAGAAAGAATGATAGCAACCACCATTTGAGAGGTGTTCGCTGCTGCACCATTGAAGGTAGAAGTAGTGGTGATGGTGGTTATGGTTGTTGCATGACAATAGGTGGCATTATTGTTTGTTGGCAATGTAAGAAAAGCTTGTTGTTTCATTGTGGAGGATGGTTTGGTCTTCAGTGGTAGTTGTTGTTTTTGTCCATCACATGTGGTTTTTAAAACATGAGATAAAGCTCAATGGAGAATAGAGATTTATATATACATTTCTTTCTGTTGGCACAATATATTGATCATGCGAACGAGCATTCATTGAACGCATTGAAGACGGATAAAACCAAAATTATACAAAAACATTAATTAAGCAACTCCTTTATTGAAATTGAATAACGTGGTGTTCTTTTTCTTGTGGCGGTGGTGGTCGTGGTTGTGGCCACGGGTGGATTCGATCCATGCGAGAATGTTTCATGAGTATTCGCCTCTCTTCTCAATAATGGTTGTTCTTGTTGTCCACTTGGCAAGAGTGCACTTTCGTTGGGAGTTGTGTTGGTTGTCGTATTTGATCCATCCTTATTTTGAATCGAATTCCTTGTGTTGGGTGAAAGAATGGAAGATCTTGAGGTTGGAGAATTCTTCTTATTGGCTGTCGTTGTTTGCATTTGAATGACATGTTCGTAGGGTTGTACTTGATCAACTCTTCTCACTTTCTTGGCAATCTTTCGTTTGTTGTAATCAAAAACTTTAAAGGTCTCTTTTCAGAGGGTGATAATGAGTTGCAATTTGGAGAGTTTGGAGACAGAGTGGTTTGAGAGGAGGAGTTGGCCACTGGTGAATGAATAGGAGGACCAAAAGGAGGACAAGAAGGAGACCCTCCATTATGTGAGATTTTGATCTCAGAGCTGGGGAGTTGTTGGTTGTTCATCACCACGACTACTGGTGGTGATGATGATGATGATGGCACAAACAATGAAAGTCCATAATAGCTTTCAGAAGAATGATTGAATGTACATGATGGTGGTGGAGGACAAGATACACTTTGGAAGGACAAGGTGATCTTTCTAGAAGAGACTTCCACGTGCGAGTGGTTGTGGTGATTCAAAGATCTTTCAAGGGCGATGTCATTGTATTGGTAGTGTCTTATCTCTCTTTTATGCTCTGATGAATGTGATGAACAAGTTGTAGGAGGAGTTTGATTAGAAACGGAAGAGAGTGATTCCTGTCTGTCGAGGTTACCTGATTTTGCTTCCCAACACGGATGATCATAATGATCATGTTGACAATATTCATAGGAGGAGCATTTGGTGATCGTCACATCCCGAGGAGTTGGATTTGCGCTCCTTTGGCGAGAATCATGCAGAAACAACAACGAGGACGACATCTTTGAG